CCTGAGTCCTTGTCAGAATGAGAATATGTGCCCGCGTGCAGCACCATCTAATGTGGCAAGAGCCGCTATGCTGCTCGCGTCTTCGTCGGCAGCTCTCCCCGTCTCCGGTGCTCGCTGTCAGCACCAGAGCTTTGAAACGGGCTCCAACCTACTGTCAGTCAAGATCATGCTACTAACTATTTTTGCACATGGAGACTGGAGTATCAGTAGTTTAATTGGCCCTCATTGCTATATCATTATTTTTCAGCTGGCAGACAGCCGTGCCAAAGCAATGTGGAGTCAGGGAAAAGTTTAAAGCGTTTATGCTCATTAGACACACTTGGTCCTCCGCTGACAGTTAAAGCCGGCTATGTGTAGTTGGAAACCAAGGTAGTCTACTTTTCATTGAATAATGCATCAGTTCAGATGCTCCTCAAGGTCAAGTCAGAAACAGTGAGTGGAGAGCTATATATTTAGTTTTTTTTTATAATGTACAATTAACCAGGTTATCAGGTTTAAGGATTGCATTAACTCAAAGCAGATATTAATATTTTACCTGTGTGCATTGCTACCATAAAAACCATAACTTTTTTTCTGTTCCTTTTTAATTTTTCCTTACAACAGAGAAGTGAAATATTCACACAGATAAAACACTTTGCAGTCTTAGATTAGCGCACTGCTGGGATCGAGCACCTCATGCATAATAAATGAAAACTCTGTCATTTTAAGTGTCCTAGAATTTCATTTTCAGGGGTTTTCAAGCCTCAAGTCTTATTCTGCTGAATGCGTTTCACACATCAAGATAAATGTGCCACTTTTATGTTTCCTTGCCAGTGCTCTTTTGTTTATTCATTTCATTAGCTCAATTTTGACCTGTGCTTTCTCCTCCTGTGCTTCTATTCAACAGTCCATGTAAAAAGGAGAGGAGAGAAAAGCGAGAGGAGTCATCAGCTTCACCTGAACAAAGAAAAAACAGCCAGAAGATACACATGGTATGGTTGTCTCTTCAAATATAAATATATATATATATATTTCTACATACATTCATACACACACACACACAGAGTGTGGCTGCTGTCACAAGTGGTTTCTGCCACAGCACACATATGTTAATTAACTGAGTCACAGCAGAAATAGCTTGTTGACAGACTCTTTTAGGCAAGATGCTGACAGCAGAGGCACAAAGCCCTTCAGCAGAATGCAGGGTGCCGGAGCTGGTCCTACAAACTGCCAGACAGTCCTTTGTCCTTTAACCATCACAGCAGATTTTCACTAGTCTTTGTATTACTTTCATTTGCTTTGGTGATTGTAACATTAGTATTCCAGACATGACTGAGCAGCAGACATGTATACACTGAAAGGTTAAAGGGGAACTTAATCTCAGACACATCAGATGTAATCAATCATAGCGCATATCCACGAAAACGACTAACTAGATGAATAAGAAAAATGTGGTTCGTGCACAAGTGACATATAGGATTGAATAGTGACCTAAAGCACAGTTTTGCTCTCAATATAATAATTTACCTATTGAGTTGAGGCGCTCAACAAATGGCGTTTATATATTTTACAGACAATGGAACAGATTGTGCATGGTGGAATGTGGTATACATTATTACAGCATCTTGTCCATCACACCATGACGCTGTCTTAATGCAGAAACAATACCCAAAAATAAACCTGATCTGCAGTCCAGGTAGAAGAACATATATTTACTGACTCTTGGGACGTGGAACGTCACCTGTCTGGTAGGGAAGGAGCCTGAGTTGGTGTGCGAGGCGGAGACTATATATATTCAGTCTCGCCTGGACCCACAGCTCTGGATGTGGAACCAGTCTTCTTGAGAGAAGTTGGACCCTCTTCTATTCTGGAGTTGCCCTCAGTGAGAGGCACAGAGGGGTAGCACAACAGTGCAGATTGTCCACCATTTTTGTAGTCCTTAGAGGGGGTGCTGGAGAGTGCCCCTCTTGGGGGACTCCCTTGTTCTGGGAGACTTCGCTGGAGAACGCTAGACCAGCTCTCAGCAGGGTCCCGGAGGGTGCATGGGAGTTCACCCAACCAGTCCACATGTGTTTTGTGGACTTGGAGAAGGCATTCGACCGTGTCCCTCAGGGAATCCTCTGGGGGGTGCTCAGGGACTATGGGATACCAGGCCCTTTGTTTGGATGGATGGATGGATGGATGGATGGATGGATGGATGGATGGATGGATGGATGGATGGATGGATGGATGGATGGATGGATGGATGGATGGATGGAAATCTCTCAATGCATTTTTTCTCAATATTCATAGATTTTTTTTCCATTTTCCTAACAAAATACCTGTGGCACCATTAGATAAGATCGCATACAGTTAGCATATATGCTGTTTTTTTAAACATTTACACACTTTGGATTTTTTTCTGTTAACTTATTTGCTATAAGACCTAAAAAAAAAGTTAAAGAAGGACTGACATCCTTTGTCTCACCATGCTCAGAAAATGCACATAAACACTTGCTGCTCACAGCTCTGTACTTGACCTCTTTTATAATGCAAGTTACATTGCTGTTTTTTTATATTTTGCTTTTATCTTCTTAAAGGTTTGCTAACTGTGAATGTTTAGATGTGTGTTCACTACATGGAGCCGTCACTGATGGAAAAAGCCTCTTTTTCTTCACAGGGGAGCTTGGCTGTATTCAAACTAACATATGGCCTCGTAACAGAGTGTGATTGCTCATTAGACAAATGGCTAGCCAAACTGTCCCCCCTCCTGTTGTAAAGTGCTCTGCCGTGCTCCCCTTTGTTTTCTATCAAGAATTAGTGCTAAGTGGAGATGCCAAACACCCCTCTGCACACAAAGGCCACTCTCACACCATATCTGGGTTGCCGTAGAGACCATCGTCCTGTTTTTAGCGAGCTGGAAAGATTCCATTATGTTCTAACAACATACCCTCCAATTCGACAAAAATGCGCATTCAAGCCAATAAAGTCAAAACTATGTTGTTCTTGTTTGTGTAATAACTCATGGTCATGGTTGCTCATGGTTTGAGGACTAAAAGACTTTCTTTCTTTAAATCTGCCATGGTTTTCCTCTGAGAAGCCATATGTGACGAAAACTGTTTTCATAAATGTCGTTGAAATGGGTTCTGAAATAAGGTACTGTAGGAGCATTACTAACATTTTAAGTGTCTTCTACTTCAAACATGGTAGATACATTTTTTATTATTATTATAGGAGATGTTTGACAGAACGGAAAGGATGAAATTACAAGTACTCGAATGAAAATAACACAAGAAAGCAGAAGAATACGTACCGGTAAATAATTCCAACACTGTTGCCAGTAATTATGAAGAATTAGGTTTGGAATTGAGTTGTAACTCATTTTTGCGGAAAGCCCCAAAAGCAATGTGTCATCCCCAAAACACAGTGTGGGAAAGCCCAAGCCGGGTCGTAAGAACAGCAGTGCAGGAGTGTTTATGCGCTCGCTGTGTGTTGCTACCACATGCCCTTACTGCCAAATGACCAGCAGAGCTGGAGCTCCTGGGAAACGGTGCATCAGTGACCGTGTGCTTGGGGCCCTATATCGATTCTTCTCATGCAGACAATTTGCGTCTTCACTCAGCCGAGTAAAGGCGCTGAAACAATTAAGTAACCGTCTCTGGTGTGAGAGAGTGAGGATCACACACACAAACATGCTCAATAGAGCCAAACTCTTTATCTCCATCACATCATCTCCAATACCAATACCAATAACTTTTCTGTGGCTTTCCTTCGTCGAAACTTTTTCATTTAAGGAGCATGAGAATTGCTCTCTATGAAGGACTCTGAACAACTGTTGGTGTTGAATGAACAGCTGGATGTCTGCCCAGTTGGGATATAAGAAATGTGGCCTGCAGTGATGCTGACAACACATGGTCAGTCTGTTTCTGACTGTGCATTTGTTCATTCTGGGACTCCTCTCTAGTTAATCAGCCTGTTGTTCAGCAATGTGTCAGCTGCCTGGCCAGAGGACGTCTGTCCTCTGGGTTTCACATGATATAATTTCCAAGTGAGTAGTTCGGCATAATCCCACAGACGGGGGAGACTGCTTTATATTCACAGTACATATTGAAAAGCCAAATTAAATGATAAATGACTTTGCACGATGGAGCTTTTTCATCAGAGACCATCGTCTTTTTTTCTTTTTTTTGTGTGTAGCGCTGGTATTGCGCATAATGTTCAGTGGCTGATAAGTTTCACCGGCCATGCTCTGTGCATACTGTAAAAAAATCATTACGCTAAACTTGCCTAAGGATACACTTTTGTGTCCACATTTAATCTACATTAGAACTATACTAAAGCTTAGTCGTTTCCTGAACTCCGTAACCCGCTTTGTGTTTCTTTTCTTTTTTTTTCTTTTTTTCTCACCTTGCTCTCACCCACACGCTCTGTGGGCTTGGTTGTCTTTGAGCTACTTTTGCACACTTTTTATCTCTGGATGTCCCTCGTTGTCAGCAAGCTGTAAGCCATCGACAGCCACACAGTGCTATAGCTACTTTGCATTCAGAACACTTCAAAGCTCTTCAGTGTGACAGCACAGCACAGGGCCCATTCTCCCCTAATTGGAGGTTCATTAAGAGACATGGAGCACCTCAAGGGGACACTGTTCATTGCTAGGGGATTTTTGGGTGTTTGCTTGCTGTGGCTGATTTTGGAATGCACTGAGAAAAATGAAAATGGGTTTTTAATTGAGATAAAGGGTGATGCGGCATGTGTGTGGTCCCACTGTGTCTTCTTTTTTTTCTGAGGGTATTAGCACATGCATGGAGAGCTTCAGAGAGGCTTACACCTGCTCCAACTAAATTGTAAAGCCTTGGGCAAAAATATCTGTCCCCAGTGTTCAATTACAGGTGATCATTTAGAGGGTCAATGACATTTACAGGGGTCAAGTTTCAATTCTTATGATCTCAAGAGGGTTTCGGTCGTAATTATCATTTGTTATGCAGGTTCATGTTTAAGATGAAACAAAAATGGGTGGCGTCGTTTGGCGGGGAGAAAACAAAATGTCTTTGTCAATGCGATCCATTTGTCTGGAGCAGTGCCCGGTGAAGCGGGGAACAGGGACTTACTTCATTAATTGTGGTGATAGTGACATCTTCAAGGGGAACTACCCAGAGGTGCACTACTTATATGAGGAGGACACTTGTGTAGATCTATGTCTCGCTTATCTTTTAATTAGAGCGGGTAAACACAACATCATTGGTTGATCGTGCTGAAGTAGACCAAACAGAGAGCTGGTTATCAGAATTAAACATGAAAAATGACTTCTTGCAATGTTTTAGAATTCTAATGCTCACACTGAGAAGAATGTAGGTCAGATGGGTTTGTCCTCATTACAGAGCACTGGCTTCAGTTGGCATCATGAAGTTGATTTAAGATCGGTTCTCATTAATCCACCAATCAAACTGTGCCATACTGCGCTCCACAGCCTCACTGTTTACTCAGAGTAAACAATGGGATCTTAGTGCCATGTGGTGTTTAATGATGTCAGTAACAGGAGAAGCTGTAGAATCAGATGAAGCTGGCATTTACAAGCTACCTGGGGGCAATTGCTGCCAGTTATTGCAGTTATTTGTGTACACTTTTCCTTACCTCTGTGTGGTATTACTTATTGAAATGGCTCCTTTTTTGCCACTGTACGATGGCACACAATTGATTACCGTACGACATTGCTATCTTGACAAAAATGCACGCCTTAAGAGGGACCTGCCTTAAATCTAGAGCCACTTTGTGTGAGTTGTTTCAAGGAAGTACCTCCTGGGGTGTGAACCACTTTGCCCTTGTCTGTGTAACACACTCTGCAGAATATTCACATAGACTTTGTGGTCTGATCTCCACAGCTGGGCTGTGATCGATGAGGAACTTTGAACCCTGTGGGAGGCATGGGAAAGACCAGATTGTTTACTCTGCACTTTCTCCAGGGTCTCCGTGGCAGTTTGATTTATACAGTGCTGGTTTGCACCATAGGCTTGTTATTTGGAGCCTGGCTCGGCAAGTACAGTATAGCCCATTTCATTTTTAAGCAATGAATTTTAATGCACAAAAGAAAATTGGCTCCCCATCTGACAGCTGCTTTGACCCTGAGATGGGAGCGCAGAGCGAAAGGGTGAGGCTGGAAAAGAGATCAGACATTTTTGTTTGGGGTTATAAAAAGTGAGCTGTGCCCTGAGAGTATTTCCAGCCGACCCCTTCCTCCTCCTCATCCTCCTCCTCCTCCTCCTCATTCCGCCTCTTCATACTCTGCTCCAGTAAATACAGTTTGTGCTCTTAGGAGTCCAAGATTGGCAGTGAAAAGCTTAAAGGATGAGAAGAGGCCATTTTTAGTGCTTTTCTGTGAATATTTCATAAATGCAGATTTCAATTAAAACTTGCTGTGACCTCATTAGGTTTTTGTATTGGGGTTTTGCAAAGGGTGAGGGTAATTAAAACCCATCTCACTCAATGAGGCTGTTGCTAGCTCAAAGAGAACCACTCTCAAGGTAATCAATAACAAAGCTTATTATGATTTACCAAAAGTGTTTAACCATAGCTCTAAATCAATTTCCTGCCTCTTGGGAGGAAAGGAGAGAAACGCTGAAACACAGAAGTTGTCATGGAAAGGGAAAGTTCTCAGTAATGGATAACTCACAAACAGACAAAAACAGGGCTCTGTTCTTACTGAGTAACTCACACAATGCCTAAAATAATTGCTTCCCTACACAGGCACAATTTTCTGGTAAAAGTACATTTTAAATTTCAGATGTTCATCCCAGAAGTGAAAGGAACAAAGCAGAGGTATAACTTTAGCTGTAGCAGAGAGACTTCGGTGTTGGGCAGGAACTGATCATCACTGAGCTCTCGTTGCAGTCTCAGACAGGCGAAGAGACTACACAAATGAGACCATTAGCAGTTTGATGAATAGTAGAGCGACTGTCCAGAGATTAGGGGATTACATTTGATTGACATACAGCAAAATACAGACAAAAGAAGTAAAAAAGGGCATTAGCACTTCTTTTTTAAATTATTTAGGGAGGACCGACATGCAGTTCTAAGAACATGCTTGCTTTTCCTTTGAGAAATCACTTTCTAATCTGCTTGTTACCCACCCTCAATCCTGGCTATTACTATCATGCTATGGGGTTGCAAATTAATAATCAGTAGTACAAGGCAAAGAGTGCTAGTTCATTTCTGCCAAATAATTAATTTTCTTCCTTCACTGAGACTGCAATTATAGCTGCCCTGCAGATTGTTTCCACTTCGGTTTCTGCACAATAGGAAGAGATAATTCCTTAGACAGTGCCTATCCTCCCCCAGGGGAAAAAATCTTGTTTAATTTGCAGCTTGAAAGGTTAAAATTTTCCCCTCAGTGAAAGCTTTGTTGTGTATCAAATATAAAAACTCATTTGCACCTTAGTTTGGATCCAGTTTGAAATGCAAACATAAAAGCAGTAATTTGATAAAAAATCAAACCACATGTTCAATTGAAATTAGTAAAGGAAAAAACATATTCAATATTAAAACCAGGTTGGCAAATTTACAGCAACTGCTAGACTAATGCTGTTTAATTATGAAAGCTGGTCATAGAAGTGTTAATTAACTTGAACTTGAGTAGCTGGTGAATGCATCAGTGGTTAGTACATATTCACATTTTAGGATTCCCATTACGATGGAAACTGACATTTGTTGTTGTTGTTGTTGTTGTTTTAAATACGTGCTCTTTTTTTAATTGGACAGCCAGAACTCTACCATGCAAAAAGTGAAAAATGTATATCAACAAGATGCAGAAACTTTCTCATGTCTAAATATGGGGATATTTGAGATGTTTTGTTTGCTGCTGTGCAGAGGAGATCTGTATCAGGCAAAACCTTGCATAATTTGCAAAACTATGTTTAACCACATTATGCACAAACGACAACAGTTTGACTCTTCGGTCGAAAGGTTTGACTCTAAAATGGCCTTCCACCAGTCTAAGCCTGTCACCCATAGAAAATATCAGAACCGTTATGACCTGAAACATAAACCATGGATTCCTGTGAGTAACTCAATAGATAACATTTAACATCAAGCAACGCTGGGAAAATTTTGTTTTGCTGACTACAGTTGGTCTCCTCAGTTTCTACTGACTGAAAAGTGCTATCAAAATAAGATGATGCAACATAGCAGCAAAAATGTCAAGTATTTAAAAATGTTTTGATGATTTATAAATCCAAATAAACAGTTATTCAATTATTCCTTATGTTTTTTATTCTATAATTTGATATAGAAAAAAAGACTTTAAATAACTTCCAAGTCATTTAAATTGTTTGTTTATTTTGTTATTGTATTTGTGCAGACCTAACTTTGTGTGATGCCGGCTGTGTTTTGTTTACAGGGTTATAGATAGTGAGACACCCATGTTGTCTGTTAATGCTGTAGAGGTGTTCTTCATTAACCACAAGTGCTTCAAGGACAAGCTTTCATCAACTAAAGTGTGCTGATGTCAGATAGGGGTTAGCTAAAAGGAGCATAGGGCTTTTGCCTCCCATCACATTAAGAAGAAAAAGAAGCTCTGTGAAGGCCATCCCCCATTGGCTAATGCACAAGGAACCTCAGCAAGGTCTCAAATCCTTAAAATGTTAAGATGGACAGCCTCTTAAGCTACGTTGAACCTATGAGCACCATTGTCTAGATCCAGGAAGTGCTGATAGGTAATCTGGCCATCTGCCTCTAAAAGCATGCTCTAAAATTGAGATCAGTACGTCTTCATCCTCCTGAATGTGGTACTGCTTCAAATTGGTTGGCACTGGATGGCCAAGGCTTTTAATTAGGTATGGATTGTTAAGATATTTCTTTGCAACACGTGCGATAAATGTTTATCTGAAATGGAATAAACTCAGTTGTCATTAGAAATGTGAGCAGGTACTTGCACAATATAAATTTCTTTTCCGTCTCCAAAGATCAAACCAAAGGAAAGAAAGTATATGTAGGGCGACAAAAACATGAGTACTCTTTGCATTTGGCAATTCATGCGGTGTTGCATGTTTTAACGTTATTTTCTTTCAGGGGCAAGGAGAGGCTTCAGCTAGGGGGACAACCATGGAGGGGGACTGTCTCAGCTGCATCAAGTACCTCATGTTTGTCTTCAATTTCCTCATCTTTGTGAGTACTTTTCATCCTTTTCTCATGGACACTTAATCTGGCTACCTCTGAAGTTAGTGTCAGTCTAATGATTTTAGATGGGCTTCTGCCTGCTCCCTGCCTGACTGGCTAATGGAGCCACATTTGCATTTCATTAGATGAGGCAGTCTTGATTCTATCAAATTCGCTTTTGATTAAATTTTAGTGTGCTGACACACATCTGAGGCACACTGTGCCATGTGGAGTTTGTGACTGGCACCTCAGTTTATCATTCGTGATCAGACAATCAAGGGTAATCCTGTTAGTCTGATCTCACATAGGGGGGAGGGTCAGTGCAGGAAGGGTTGTCTCTTTTCCTGCTTTATTAGGCGCAACCAAACCGTTTAGAGACTCCACTCAAACGCTCTTGTTCAGGGCTGGGTTAATAATACAACCTGCAGAGCAAAAAAAGAACTTTGTTTGTTAGCAGCACTCAACCGCCTCTGTTTTTCACAAAAACACATCTTTTGCCATTTTACACCCACATGCTTTAATTCAAATTTTAAACCCAAAAGCTTTTCAAAATGGATGTGTCCTATCGTCATGAGTTTCTTAGCTGGTTTCCTCTTAAACATGCCCAGGTTTTTCCAAGAACCAGAAAGAATGGGATTGTGATAAAAATGTTTGAGGCTTAGGTTTCTACGCCCAACCTCAATATCTTCTTTTCTTAATCACACGAGTCACCCCATAGTGGCAGCAGATGGGATTTTAGAGAAAGGGAGGATGGGAGAGGATGGAAAGCTCTGGCTTGGTGTATTTGTTTAGCTTTCTCACCCTTAACTCGCTGTTCAACCTTTTGGACATTTGCATTGAAACTCACTATTGTCACAGAAAAAATAATAAAAATTGAGCGATTCATTTTTTGTGTATACCATGCTATGCTCTCCCCTGAGATCCCATTAATGTTTTAAAAAGTACAAGTTGCCATCTTGTCTTACAAGTGACCTCTTTTTCTTCTCTCCATCAGCTTGGGGGCTCTTTCCTCCTCGGAGTTGGAATGTGGGTGCTTGTGGACCCCACAGGGTTCAGAGAAATAGTAGCGGCTAATCCCTTACTGTTCACTGGTGTCTACATCATTCTGGGTATGGGCGGCATGCTCTTCCTCCTGGGCTTCCTGGGCTGCTGTGGAGCCATCCGTGAAAACAAGTGTCTGCTCCTGTTTGTAAGTCTACTGACAAATTTTAAATGGATTTCTGTTACTGATCTTGCTTGTGTGCAAGTGTGTTGATTATTCTCCCTGTCAGTTTGTGGACTGTCGTGCTTGAAACATAAAACCAAAAGAGCAAAATGCCCTCCTATTTACTGTAGTGCCTCCAACCTCATGCATATTTAATGCTGAGTGAAGTGGGCACAGGCCGAGTGTGATTTTTCGGAACCTGACATGCACTTTTCTGACATTCCCACACCTCGTCAAACTCTCTCTGACTCTTTCCTGCTTTGTTCTTTTCCTTTCTGCAGTTCTTCATGCTCATCCTGCTCATCTTCTTGGCGGAGTTGGCTGCTGCCATCCTGGCCTTCATATTCCGGGAGCATGTAAGTTGTCCAGTGTTCACATCCCTTTTTGTGCAAACGTCCAGGAGGACCAAGATTTATAATGAATTTACTTTGTGACTTGATGATAAATAGATTTTTCCTTTTTCTGTTCCTTTATTTAGGAAATAATCTTTTTTGTTATTCTTTTTCCCTTAATAATAGAAGCCTGAATGGCCAGCTGTTTTAAAAAAAGTTCTAATTTGGTGCAACATATCTGTATTACAAATATAGATATAACTACATTACATTTGACTCAATTTAGCAGCAAAAGTGTTGAGTAAGAAATGGCTGACGAATTCTCTTCATTTTTTAACTTGTCCTCTGATCCCAACTGATATTGTCTTAAGTCATACATTTATTCCTTTCTGTTTGAGAAGCTTTTTTTTAATAGTGGGGCTACCCTAAACCGGTAAACAAACTTTTAATCTTATTACGAGAGGTTGAGCGAGGGTTCAGAGTAAATTTAATCAGAGGAGGAATCGCTCAAACCTCTGTTCATTTTTCTTCAAACTTGTGACCAAGAAGCCACAAAAGTACAATCTGCAAATAGAGGTAGTATTCAGAAAGGTTATTGACCTTTAGAATTTGTCTGTAAAGGTATATACAAACATATCAGTTTTCTAAGAATTTGTGATGATTTTAACAGAAGATTTCAATCTCGTCCACGTGTAATGGAGGTATCCTCCACAGAGTTCATGACCTGGTGACCGGTTAAGATCTGAACACCAAATGAATATCAGCTCAAGACTCCAGTGATATTAACTGAAGTTATTCATATTTTCTGTATTTTCACATCAGTTTCTGTTCTTACTGCCTGTTGCTTTAGCTGACCAGAGAGTACTTCACCAAGGAGCTGAAGAAACATTATCAGGGTTACAACAACAGTGATGTCTTCACCTCTACATGGAACGCCATCATGACTACAGTAAGCCCGCAACACGCAGAGATCTTCAAACCTTTTAACAACTGCTCACATCCACCAGCTGTTTTTATAAACATAATGGATAGGTACCTTGGTGTCAGTGGACTATGGTTTATAAATAAATCTGTGATATTTAGGTCAGTAGTCATGCTGGCCTGGTGCACACACACACACAGTGGACCAGAGGTCAGTGCACTAATAGGCACTTAGAAATAAGGACTTCTCCTATTCTCTCTCCTCCTTCTAGTTTGACTGCTGTGGAGTGAACAGCCCTGAGGACTTTAAGGACAGCCTGTTCAGGGTTCTCAACCAGAATCACATGGTGCCAGAAGCCTGCTGCCAGCGTGTCAGTCAGAACGGAGAACTGTCCTACACCAGCCAGGAGCAGTGCTTATCAGGAAATATGATGTTCCGCAATAACAAGGTAACTTCTGACATCTGTTATTCCAACCCCTTCCCATCTCCCTTTCAGCCTCCTTCTAAACCTCCTCCAGGCTTAATTAGACCAGAAAACAGCTGAGAGGAGACATCCAGGGACTGGCTGAGTCTGCCATGGCTGATTAGTGCTTTTCTGTGATTCGGGTGTCCTGGCAGATCATCCCTGTATGTGGTACAGCACAGAGACACCAGAGTGTGTGTGTGTGCATGTGTGTGTGAATACATGGGTAAATGGGAGTTTTTGTGGAGTGCACATGTTCAAAATAGAGCATAATAAGTATGTGAATATGTGAAAATTACATGTGTTTCACAGTTACACGCGTCCACATCCCTTTTGTGTGTACAAAGCAAGCCTCGAGTGTAATTATGGTGAGAGCAAATGGGAAGAGGTTTGAACGGCACTTTCCACCTGTTGTTTTTCATGCCACTGGAACAATGAAAAGATGTCCAGCGTGTGTCTGTCTCTGTTCATTCACACAAAGAACTCATTAAAAGGCAGTGAAGCTCCAGGCCCTGCTTCCCACTCATTCAGCCAAGCCTTTGTTCCAAGCGTCACTCAATTGATGCTATGATGCTCCTTTAACTCGCTCCGTAATTGTGTAAATTTATAGCCTATTGATTCTTCGCTGAGCATGTCCTCTTTGTGTCCACAGGGCTGTTACTCTGCAGTTGTGGACTACTTTGAACTGTACATCTATGTGGCTGGAGCCCTGGCCATTGTGGTGTTAACCATTGAGGTATGCTGGGATTTGTAAATTATGCTTCTTTTAGTTTCAAGTGATAAGAATATAAATTTAAAAAATGTGTAATTGTGCATAAATCTGAGGCTATTTAACCAGTAAAGCCAGTAATGAATCATTTGGGAGCCATTCGCATGGCTAGATCTCCATCTTGTGGTGATGTTTGGTATCTCAAGACAATCATTCTCTCCTTCTGCATATTGTTTTATAACTTAAGATCAAATTTCTACACAAAGGCATAGCTTACATTAGACATGCTAGAGTTATTTTCAGCATGTTTCCGTTTGTTTCCCATTGCAATGACAGTTATACTAGACAGAATGATAAAAAATAAGGTTTATGATCACAAAACATACCGTACAAGGGGCTAAATGCATCCTCACTTCTAGGTTCTTAAATTCAGAGAAGTCTTCCATAGAAGTGTCTGTAGATTGAATATAAAAATTTCAAAAGGTGTCCAAATAAAGTGACTGCTAAAATGAACAAATATTAACAGTCGTTGGGCTCATTGTCATCAGTTTATCACAGTTGTAGTCAGTTTTTATTCTGATCTGTCTTTTTTGTTGTTGATAATCTTATCTTCCACCCTCTCTCTTTTCTTTTTTTCCTCAGCTCTTTGCCATGGTCTTTGCCATGTGTCTCTTCAGGGGAATCCAGTAGAGGTGCTATTTCTGCAAAGAATCTTTTTTAAGAAAGGGAATTCAGGAGCAAAGAATGAAATGGACATCTGTAAATTTGTGGATCTCTTTTTCTATTGTGTAATTGGTTAAAAGCAAAAAAACAAAAAAAAAGACAAATAACAAACTCGTACTTCACAGCTGGACTTTTGAGGTACAGGGTTGAAAAAAGACATAAAATTCATTGAGAAAGTCATAGGTCAAAGACAAAGCTTAAAAGAAAATTGCGTGTAAAGTGGAAACAATGTTTTTGGACCAGGTCTAGCACAGACTGGGTATAATGTGGACCGGGGATGAGGATGCCTGGGCAGAAGGCACTGCACTGACTTTTGGATGAAGAATATTTATATTAAGTAAAGTTGGCTTAACCGTAACAAAAGAAAGGTTTTTCATGTACATTCTGGGTGGTAACCTGTTTCCTTCTCATACTGTATACCATAACTAACCCCCTTCTTCAACATGCCTTTTTACAGTCACATCTCTCAAATGCTGTATAATATAAGCTGCGAGCTCTGAGTGTGTGTGCGTGCGTGTGTGTGTGCGTGTGTGTGTGTGTGTGCGTGTGCGTGCGTGTGTGTGTGTGTGCTGTATGCTCTTTGTGAGTGACTTTTGAGAGCATGAGACCCTGTCACACTCAGTGAGCCTTCTCAAGCCAACTAAACTAATTCTTTTTCTGTTTGTGTGGTGACTGTCGTTGCATTAGTGGTTAAATGTGGTTTTAGGTGGTGACATGTATGTTTATGCATTTGTATTTGGTTCTTGAAAAGTCAGTGACATAAATGGCATTGTAAATGACTGCTTGTGTGTGTTTCTTACACTGGTTTGGATATTGATGATGCTTACAAGCATGTTTTGGAGCAAAAATTATGTTGATATCCATCCTCTCCTAAAATCCGTTTTATATTACAGTACTCTTAATTTATGGTTACTGTTTAACACAGATAGCTTGTTCATCTCTAGTCACTGTGTATTCAATTATATGCTATGATACAATGATAAAACACAGCTATTACAGAAATAACAGTTATAGATTGACTGAATTCTCTATCAAACACATTCCTCTGAACAGATTCTCATCATATAGAATGCTGAAACACAAATGGCAAATGGTGACAATTGTTGAGCTAAAGGACAACAAATGCTCTTGTTGTCATTTAACTGAAATCAGCATCACCTTTAATGCCTTGTTAGATTGATTTATTGCTTCTTTTTATTGCAGGAAAAGATGAGAAGTTTGAGGATAACTACAATAAAAGCTATGTTTATGTTTTGGAAATTGACCCATTTTAACCCCAAACAGTTGCACATCACAGAAAAACAAGCACATATAATGCAACACAACACTCAGGAGGCATTAAAACAGCACAACTGTGTGGTGGCTTTCACCATATTCTCGCAGCAAAAGGGTTCAAGTTTCTGATCGAGGCTAAAGGCTTTGTAAAGATTGCATCTTTTGACACTCTAAATTGACCCCGGAGAGTGATAGTGGGTGTACGAGGTTGTGTGTCTCAGTCATCTCTGTGTAGCCCTGTGATGGACTGGTGAACTGTCCAGGCTCCACTCCACTCCTTACGCATTAACGGCTGGGATAGGTTCCAGTCCCCCTTGCAGACATACTTAAAATAAGAGGGTGTAGAAAACAAATGGATAGATAGAAGTCTTGGAATATGTCGATTTTTGTTTTTTAATATCAGTCAAGAGCATTTATTAAACGTACAAGAATTGAAATTATGGAGACATTGAAATTATTTTAGATACAGATTTTTTTTTCATCATTATGGAAATTTAATCTCACAATCTCAAACCTATAAAGTCCTACATGGTCACAGTGTTTCTGTGTTTTTTCTTACAGCCTAGGCTTTAACTGTGATTAACAGCAAATAAACTAGATTCCATTCTTAGCTATCTTAGTTTCATCTGACCAACAGATATACCAGCAGTATGCATGGGTGGCATACATTTTCTCAACAAGCCTTTTCAGAAACACTTTTCTGCACTTATGCGGACCCTCATTGAGCTAAAAGCAAGAGAACAACCACTATCTGACTTCTTTTAGCTTCCCTGCCTCATTGCCAGATATGGTAGCTAATTAGTCACCTCTAATTGGACTGTGAAGTTTTCAGTCTGGTCACAAAACAATAACCAGAGATTATAAGTGAGGTACAGCTAAATCGAATCATATGATCAAAATTTTATCATTTGTTACAGAGAGATATCAATGCAGTAAACTTTTATAGTGTCTTCTTTCTAGATTATGTTTATTCGTCATCAAAAACACTTGATTGAATGTCAAATAATTGATTAAAACTTGTGCTAAGTAAATATATTTTAACATGCTGCAGTTTTCTCATTTTCCACCTGAGGGCAGTAGTATTCCCCCTTATCTCAGTACAGCTAGAAGATTCTGTTTTTAAATGTTTGTACTAGGTTCAACAAGTAGGTACATTTCTCTTAAGGTCATGACAGAAATGTAGTTATTTAGCATGTTTTTCAGTACCTGTATATAATGTGTTTGTCATATTTTGAAACAAGAAGTATTCATGTAAATCTCACTGTCTCAAATAAGATACAACTTACAACTAGCTCTGATTTTATTTTTTTCCTTGCCTCCAACCAATGAAAACAATGTGTCTTTTATAAGCATGTTTTTCTTTTGTCATGAATGATTACAAAGTCGATGCCGGTTGCTGTGGGGCAGGGCCTCCTTTTACTTCTTACACAAAATGCTCAGATGGGTTCATTGTTAGGATTTAACAGCTACAAAGAGTCACAGATGGTCACCATGAGTAGCTCTCGATCCTTGAGGTTTACTGTCTCCAGCACGCTCATGATGTGTTAATGCAGGCCTGCAGAGAGCACGCTCTCTGGTAGCACTGTTGCAGGCAACATGTAGTGACATTGATTTGGTAATAACGGTGTCGTTCTTCTTCTAAAACTTGACTCAACTTTGGACCTGTGAAGTTAAACTGAAAGCAGCTGAAATTCAAAATCTGGCAAAAATCAACCTGACAAAAACACTAAATTCATTAGAGATGGTTTCTACTCAAAGGACAAAGATTATCCCAAAAAATAGTTTTTCGCTGCGAATTTGTGATATGAATTGACATTTGTGGAAAAAATCCTTTCTGCAACTCTTTGATTATTTTCTATTTTAATTGCCACTGCCAGGGCAGACTTGAAAAATGTTTTGGATTCTCTCCATTGTAACAGATCTAAGCAGAAGAGCAAATTCTGAAAAACATGCATTTAAGAATAGTCTTTTGTTCTCAATATGTTATGGGTTACTGGGCTACTTTGCTTTGCCGCTAGAGTAGATAGTCTAAAAGCTTTTTATGCTTTATGTAAGGTCAATGCAAAGGACTGAAGTTGTAGTATTTACCTCTTTGCTCCAGCGTAGTCTTGCACCGCCACATCTCTTCTTTCCTCATAAAAATTCCTACCAGGAAAAAGAGAAGGAGTGAGGGATGTGGGAGATGTGAGGCTCAGGGGGTTCCGTTCTGAATTTGTTTTAGTCCTTTCTTTGGAGAGGAAACTTTAATTGCTTATTGATTTATGAGTGGTTAGCTTCCCACGGGAATTAGATAGGTCCTTAATTTTCTTTACATATTAGAGCCAACTTTCTAACATAAAACTTTGCTTTCCCCTTAGTTTGTGTTTATCCAGTGTGGAAGGTGTTAGGTCCGGTGGGGTGATGTGCCCAGAGAAACCCCTGTGGACTGTTGTGCAGAAACCCTTCCAGGGGCAGATTATTCACATCTGCTGCGTTGAAACCACAAAACCCATCCTGAAACTGTGAGAAGCAAGAAAATGCAATCAACAGCAGAGCTTACTACACAAACAGCGAGGCAAATAATGCTGCAGCTCACTGTAAAGGGACTTCTGTTGTGGTATAGAACATTTGAGTTATCCCATAGCTGCAGCGTCCCACAGATCCCCCATCTTTGGACTCAACCAGGCAGCCTTTGTGACACAGTGTGGTGCCCATGACCCATTGTGAAACAGGAAGTGAGCTGGGAAAGCCAGGAAATTAATCTGTAGGGATGAGCTGTTTCTCAGGCCAAACATCACCACTGAGAAAGCTCTCCCGTGTCCTGTGACTCACTGGTAGAGCATGTGTTTTCAGTCTGGAGGACTTGAATATAGCTGACGACTATCGCTGCGCGGCCTGTGCTGTCCCATGTGAAAAAGCCACAAAGTGCTCTTTGGTTGCAGTGCAGAACAGTTATGTAGCGCAGCTCCCCATGAGCTGAGTGACGACTGCTCCAGTCCTCTTCAATCTTCCAAATGTACACCCCATGAGTTTTTGTTTCAGAGTTTCTTCACTGCTGGAGGCTAATGCAGTGCTTAACTCCTCATTCCACACCAGCTTCTCTCACACTGTGGTCTTCGCCGTTGAGCCGTCATCTCTGCCTGTCAATCACTTCCAGAGTGGCGTGGGGCACATGTGTCCTCAAGAGGTCAAGTTGTGTGTGTGTGAACTTTGAGCTCTGCTACAGGAGGCCTTCACGTGCAAATGCAACGAACAAGACTGCGCTTGAGTGTGTGATAAATCAGAAGGGTGCTTCACCATCCCTGTATTCACATGATTCATAATTGGAAGCATATTGCAGGGAGGACAGAAAAAAATGCTGCTCTGGAGCAGCAAAGTTTAGGGGTTAAAAACACAGACTGAGCTAACTTTAGGGTTGTCAAGATGGGAACCAGTAGACAGATTTGCTGCATGTTGACTCTGTGGCTGCTTACAGGTGGTGTAAAAAGAACATTTGCATTCACCACTTTTGCACTTTGTAATTCCTTTACACTGGAATTTGATCCTCTTACTAAGTGATTGAATACGTTCACCTGTTTTAATCTGAACAAGTTTCCAACCATATGTCAGAGCAATTTTACTCTCTTTTACAGTCTGTTTATGTTGACATGTCAAAAAGCCACAGCCGACAGTTCCACACTGTAATAAACAAAACTTTTATTAGTGGGGAGTCAGTGTATGATGTCAGTCTTCTTGAAGAACAAGTTTCCATGGTGATAGACCACAGAGATTCATGTCAGGCAGCTGGCAGGCCATCAGCTGCTTAGTGCTCTCTTTCAGCTGATGGGAAAAAGGAACATAGGCCAGAAATGACAGCAAATTAGCAAAACATGTAAACAGCTACTGCAGCATGCATGCTCTGATAGACCATAAGGGGCTTGTTTTAAGGTTCGATTTTAGCTTTGTGCAGTTGCTACCGAGTGCAGTATTGCTCTTACTTTTAGACAAAGTGCTGTCAGGCAAACAGTCAGTCAGATGAGGAGTTCAGGGATTTCGGCAGAGGTTCAGTCAGGTCAAAATGTCACAGATTATTTGGTTGATGTGTCTTATTGTTAGGGGTGTCTGGGTGGTTTGCGACTAAACCACCTTTAAAACAAAACAGTCAATAACACATTGGAACATTTTATTGTTCTGGTGGTCAGTCAGATTTTGTGTTTCAGGGTTAAGGCTCAAAGATATGGAACCTCTGGTTCAAAGACAGTCCTAGGGCCATCTGAGAATGGGATCTTGAAGAGAGCAGTTGTTCCAGCAATTTGCATTTGGAAGCACTTTTATGCTATACAGTACTATCCTGGTCTTGTGACTTTTGTTTCTCCGTTATCACTCAAAACTTCTCAGATCCTTTCTAAAAGCACATGTTGCTGCTTTCATATCGTTTATTATTCATGCTCTTCTGGTTTCTCGTGTGTGTCAAACACTATAGCTAAATTGTCTTTGCTGACTGGCATCCACAGATTGTTAGAGACCTTTTGTGGGGCAAAATGATGTATGAGGTATGATGTGTTCCTTCCTCTTTATCCACCCACTCATTTCCACATGGCCCTGAAGAAGAGTTGTGGTGCTTGCTTATGACCACAACAGGAGACGGATCTTCATTGGATGTCCCACTGGACAGAATCACTTTATCAAGCATCTTTTGATTTATGGGAACTTGTCACTGGACGTTATATGAGTGAGTTGGACTTTGGTTTTTATAAAAGCCAACATGGCGAGCGTCAGTTCACATGCATGAGTCTGTGAGAGGTGAATGTGTTCTTTCTTTCTTTTTTTCTTGTCTGCATGTGTGTCATTTTGCTTTGGCTCCAGTCCTTTACAGCTCTTAACAGTCTTTTCATAGGTCCAAATGTGTGTGCAGAAATTTGATTTACAGTGCAGCCTGCAGTTTTCTTTTAGAAGGATCATTTAACACTGTAAGCTAAAGTGCCACTTCTAAAATATGACCTAACAGAAATTTTTGCTGAAAGCTGATATATGGGCTGATTTACAGCTTTGGCTTTGCTAACGATGGCCCTTAATGAGCAGCTCAAGCATCTACTTGTTTATGGAGCAGACTGATTGACAGGTCAACCAATGGAAAAACAAAGTAGAGGGTGAGGAATTGGATCTGCACCTCTTTTGCCATATCAGCAGGGCCCTAATGTAGTGAGGTGAACTTTGAAGTGCCCTAATGGTCTTCATGGTCCCTTAACCATGCAGGCTTCTATTAGGGGTGTCAGTGGAGCCTGGCTAGAGCAGCGTGACCCATTAGGTTTAATGAGGGCTGCCCAGGGCACACTGGGCTGCTCTTCTTCCTCTCTTTGTTTATTTATCATTCGCTTTTTAATTTTTTTTTTTACAATAAAGTGTTGTAGTGGCAAAACCTATCCTAAGTTCTATTTATCCTTCTGTAAATCAGACCAGTGACCAGCAATCATATTCAGCATCAGTGAAATGGTCTAACTGAGAATGTGATGAGAGACTAAAGATAAACGTTGCCTTGGTTGGCATTGCATTTGTTCGTCGTGAAAAGATTAGATTATACTGAGTTCATGTTGGCAAGGATGATGTGTGTCTTCTTTTACTTCGCTCCCTTCGTAAAAAAAAGGTGTCAATTAAAGTTTTAGACTTATGATTGTTTCTAAATGTTTAGATTGCCAAACAAACTTGTGGTTGAGCGTTGGACAAGCCAGTATAATCAGAAAGTTACATAATTTTGTTTTTGATTAAATTTGGAGGGTAAATGGAAAACATTGCTAGTGTTAGCTAGCTTTCCAGAACATTATGGATTGTCAAAGTGCTTGTGCTACTGCTTGGAAATTTGTGATTATGTAGCCTAACTTAAAAGAACAATAACCCTGACCTTGGTATTGGATTAAAAAAGTGTAACATAACTTCAGTATAACGATGTCAAACCACAATTGCAGATCACCTTAGTATAAGGCACAGAGTCAGTATTCAGGCCTAACTAGTAAAAAACTGAATATACGAGGTCAATCATCAATACATTATGGCAAGTAGAATCCTAAAGAAACTCTATTTCACTTCTACAAAGAATGATTCACCAAACATGATTTTTTTTTTTTTTATGATTCGTCACCTCTTTATTTACAATATAAGTGTAACCGTTTCTGACTTATTTACATACTTTGTTATTTTTTTAAACTATATATTTTTATTTCTTATGACTATGAACAGTAAATGGCTTTTTATAAACATGTTTTATTCAACATATGGAAGCTTGCTGTGAATGAAGCTCTTCTCTCCTTCTGTTGTATACCTACTGATGATCTTCTGTTCTACTAGTATAACTGGAGTTTATGATATTTCCTTTGAGCAGTCTCAAATATTCTGATTTAACTTATGCTAAACTATTCAAGTGATGCTTGTAGTTTATTTAAAAAGAAGAAGAAGAAGAATACTTTATTGATCTCACAATGGAGAAGATCAAAAGATCATTTATGCGCCCAGACTACAGCAATGAGGTAACTTATCTTATAAATATTCTTATTTTTCCTTATTCATCTCTTATACTTTATTGTTTCTTTGTGTTACACTATCAGTCATCCTATGTGCCAATGCTTTCTGTAAAAAAAACAAAGACTGAAGTGATTACAAATTTAGGTTTTTGACTGTAGTGGAAGACTTTTTTAAGTATTTAAAAAATCTGTTGCAAGGGATGTTTTGTTCCGTGAGTGTGTCCTGTTAAAACAAAGAACATCTGCGTGAAATCAACTTGAATGCTGGATTAGATTTGAGTTTTCTGTTTCCAAGGCACTGCAACATTGTTTACCAGAGACCACCTAAAGGATATGTAAGGCTTTTTGTGTTTTTGTTTCTTGTTGTTTTTGTTTATTTCTTTATTCTAATCTGTGTCTGACAACATTTCTTATTTTAAATCTTTACAGACTCTCATTTTATTTACAAGTAAAGGGCATATACCCCAATCTTAAAGAATATTGATACAGTCACAGAAAAAGTGCAATGAGCTGCGATCATTTCCAAATGATCCCAGCCGGATTAGAATGGAACAAAATGCAAAATATGCAAATAACCCAAATATTCAGGCAATAACAAAAATCCCTCTATAAGTGTGGGATGTTAAAAGTTTGAACACGGATAGGAAAGTGGTTAGACCCAATGAAAACAAAATCATCAGTACTCTTTCAACCACCAGAGATCCATTTATTTCAAAATAGACTCAAAACCACAATGGACGCAAATAACAAGTTGATTCTGTATAAACAAATTACAACACCTGAGGAAACCCCATTGATGCTGTTCACAATACTAAATATGGACGGACTAAGGAGACAGTTCTTGACTACTGGGAATGAAAGCCCCCCCATCTGACATTGAGAAGAGGCAACTACCCCAGCAAATATCAAAAGACACAAGTGCAATAAGTTATTGCATGATTTGGCACAATCAACGGTAGAAGTACTTGATTAATATACAAAAAAGCTGCTTACGGTCTTAAAAATGAACATTAGAAAAACTAGTCTCTCAGTAAAAGTGAAAGCTGACTTTTCAAAAGAGCAAATAGAACCGTAGAATTCTTGGCACTGTTACTGTAATACATTGGTTTATCTCTGGAGGCCCAATATACAACAGAAAAAGCAAAAAAAACAACATTTACAAGCAGAGGAACAATATCATTTGAATTCTTCACATTCATACAACACACCATTATCAACATGTATTTAAATTGCTTTATTTCAGTAGTATCAACTTAAATGGAGCTGCAGAGGAGGAGGAACACTGAGGAAAGACCAGACACAGAAAGTCAATATGATAACATGATGGAACTCGGCCACCTTTGTAGCTCGACATAAATTAATCTTGCCCACATGCTGTTTTTAATGGGAACTTTTCATTTTGGATTTTCACTCATTTTTGTGGCATTTTATTCTTATTTTCTGATATTTGTCCACAGTAAATAAACCCACGTGTGTAGATTATATAAATTTAGAAGGTCAAACAAAATCATGATGTCATCACACACTGGTATTTCTGAGTGGAAAGCGCTCCATCTAAACATTATGTAATTTGAATGTGCAGAACCTTTAATTCCAGAGTGCTGCAGCAACTGTAGCTAAGTTTCATAAAAAGTGTATTTGGAAGTATTCGATTTCAGTCATTTCTCCAAAAGATTAGCACTCTTAATCTTCCTTGATTTCTTCTTCTTATGTCACAAAAAAATAAATACCTTCGGATACTGTGCTGACTAGACACAAGAAGACATGACTAATATGCTTTTGTTTTGTAGCAGGCATCACAGAAAGATCTGCCAAAAGACTAATGAAAACTGTCTCTAGGTTTAGCCTTAAGCCCAGCTCTGGTGGCAGGTCTTTGTGGGTGGGGGTTACACTCACAGATACCCCTGCAATCATCGGGCATGCTCACCAAATTCCTTTTAGTCCAACTCAAATATCTTCGAATTACAAACAGTAATTACAGAACACTACTTAGGAGGGTCACTGATTTGACCTGCAGTCATTCATAAATTCTCTGTGTGCAAGCAACAAATCTAAGACTGATCTCTATTGGACCAAAGTCTGACTATAAACTAATTATTTCAGCATGTGTTCGGTGAATGTTCTCACCGTGTACCCCATGACACACTGTGCTGTTCACAGGTATGGACTGCTTGCATTGATGCTAATTAAGTTTGTCTACCCCTGTTGGTTGTTGATTAAAGCTGGCATGGTTAGTTACTGTTGAAGGTTGCTGCTGTGCAACGCTGGCCTACGTCTGCCCTTGGAGACACCGTTTCCTGTAACCTGAAGCCCCAGCTTAGCTGGGGGACCTGTGGATGCAGCCCAATGAGGGGAAGTGACAAGATGGTTTGAAATTACTGCCAATGGGGTGCCTGTCAGATACCCAGACCAAAACGGTACTCCATGCCTGTTCTCGCTTGATTAGCTTTCCTTACAGCAATATACCTCTGTCCTTCCTGGCAGAGACGTGAAATACCCACAGCAGGTTTGGACAAAGTTATTGTTTTCTGTCGTAATTGTAGTTTACAATAGAATATTACTCAAAGTAAAATTCCAGTCCTTTATTTACATCTGAGATTGCTCACTGTAAGTTAACTTGCTTTTGACTGCTTACAAATTTCAAACCTTGTTTACAAAGGTATTTGAACTGATTTATGCAATATTAAAGAAATGTGTAAAGTGGCAGTTATGAAGCCATGAGTGCTGCTCTATGGGGGATATAAAGCTTTGATCAAGTACAATAATGTGATCCCTGCTCATTGCTGTGAATGATTCTAAATGAAAAGGGTGGTTTTGGCACAGTATTGGTACATTCGCTTTCGAAGATGTTTAGTAAACCATATGTGTGTGTTTCTGAAAAATGACCCAGTTTATTGGGGTCTAAATCGTACGTTTAAGTGAGACCTGAGAGATCAAGGAATCAATGATGAACTTCTATGGACCATCCTCATCTAAGTTGCATCTTTGTATTTCTCTCACTTTCAGCATCTGCTGATTGTCATAGTCACAGCTATCTTGCTTTCGTTGGCCGCTCTTATGGCCTCTCTTATCTCCACAGTCTCTCTCTGTTCATTTGACCTGTGTTATCATTAAGACTGTCAGGGAAATCCCCTCCTACCCCTCAGTGCTCGCTGATGGCTGCTCTATAGACGGGGTCTTGTGGGGGCAGGGTAAAACCACGCCGGGGCATCATGTAGCCCAAGAAATGGCGGCACTGTGTTCCTTGGCCTTCATACGCAGCGCCGCTATGCTGGAGGACTTGCGGTCTGGATCCACGTTGATATCATAGCCATTGATTCCCCCGCTGATTCCCGCACCCCCAAACAGGCTACCCATGTGTGTCTGTCCCATGTGGCTGCTTCCTGGACTGGGCACTCCCAGGAAGTCAGAAACACCTCCGGGACCATGAGGGTGAGGGGGCATGCAGGAGGGAACAGAGTCGCAAGGGACAACACAGCCCGGCACTGGAGATGCTCCACTGCTGCTGCCAATCCACGACGGGTTCTGGATCTGCAGAAGAACAGAGATTGTGGTTTGAATGAATATTTTGTTCATTGTCACTTGGTGGAAATATCATCCCTCTGGGTACCTAAATTTTAAGTTAGGTTTCAAAGTGTTTACAATCCAATTAGAATAAATTTCCAACACGATGGCAAATTCATGAGGGCTTCTTCTGTTGGTACACGTTTTAAAACATGATGAAGAAAAGTTGCCATAACTGCAAAATGAGATTCAAAGCTGGGCACTGCAGTACTATCAGCACCATATCTCAGTTTAACACCAGCTCATCTCAGCATCATGAAAGTGATCAAATCTTCTGGCAGGTCAGTTTGGTTTGTTCTCATTTGATGTCACTGATCACATACAGCTGCCAAATTCAATGCGCAGACTACCACTTATTTAAACTTTACCTGTGCATAGTTCTCAGGCCGGGTGAGCAGAGGCAATTCATAAGCGGTCGAGAAGTGCGTGCGGACCTGCTGCATCTGGCCAAAACGCTCTCTCTTTCTCCACTTGGCTCTGCGATTCTGAAACCACACCTGGAAAAAAACAGTATGTCAGGAGGGTATCTCATATGAGACAGAAATTTTACATAACTTCTAAAAATCAGCCCTCATAACACATGCAACTATGAACACTTTGTAGAAAAAGGGCCATCCTCTCACTCAGCAAGTCAAAGTAAGAACCTGAACCATATAAAATGAAGATACCGAAGCAAATAAATTCTGCTGCACATGGCCCATGTTTTAAGACATGACGTGTCTTTAAAGTGTCGTCCACACTGAGCTATTGATGTGAAAACGGTGAGTCTACCCTGGTGCTCCGCGTTTCAGCTCCTCCCTTTGATACAAAGGCATCTGCCTCCCCCTCAGGCTGCCAGTGCTGACAGATCCACATATGGGCCTGCAGCCAATCATAAATCACTCTGAGAAAGGTGTGCTCTCTCCCACATGTCAGCACAGTGGGATATAAAGGGGAATCCCTCTTTATAATCGATGAAACAAATGTTGAACTTTTGACCAAGAAAACATATGTCTGTGTATAGACAAAGCGATCCAACTTTAGGTGTTTTAGTATTGTTTGTACTGAGTTTGTTTGGGCCTACTGAATAAAGAGGACAGATTAGCTTCTTTTCAGATTTGGTGCATTCAGTAACTTGCTGACAGACCAAGTGCAGGTTATTTAACCCACTTCTCCTGAGTGGTAGGGGAGCAGGACTGAAGAGTGAACGAGTCTTTAAAAATCAAAGTATGCCATGGGCCTGCAAATATGCATTTAAAATGTCATTTTGTTGTTTCGAAAAAAACCCATTAATCATTGTAGATAAAACTGTTGGCATTAATGGAGGACATTTGGTAAAACCACAATCTAGATAATCATCATTCCTTGACACATGTCATTACTCTTGTTCACTTTTATAATAAATAGTTTGACATTCATTTCTAATCAATATACATTTTAAAGATCCAACATGCACAAAGCAACCTTTTAATTTAAGATGCAAGTTTTCAAAATGGTAGTCCATCTTAGTTTTTATGTTAAATTTGAATCATAATTTCAGATTTTCACCAGAGATTTTTTTCTGCAAGAGCGCAAAAAAGTGGATAGTCTCCACATGTTTATCTGTATCTGTTTGTTGGTTTTCTGCAACTTATCCTCCGGATAGAAGAGAAAGGGGAGGGGGCACTTCTTCAAAGAGACAAGAGAGAGCGATCCCTCTTCGACACAGGGGTTTGAACTTGGATTGTGGGTTGATTCTCAGCCCAATCATCTTGTGGTTTTCACAGTCCCTGGCTTGCAATTTCCCTTCAGTCATTCCCTTAAAATCCCCCAGCCCCATTCGTCTTGTTCTCAACGTTTCTCTCAGTCAACATAAACAGGGTACAGATTAGTAACAGAATTGATCAGTGACTTCCAAATATGTCCATTTTCTAGATATAAAATGCTTCCATTCTTTTTTTATTTTTGCAAATCACTCTCTAGCAAGTGAATTTGAATCAAATGTGACCAGAGCAGCATTGAGGGAGGCATCAGCACAGAAACCGGGTGTTTCTCTTAACTCTTGAAACGACTAGTCGGGTCATTTGCTCATATGTTTATGAGAAGCTGACGTAAAGAGACATTGCCTGACTTCGACATTCCTCGGGTCAGCTGGTGAGATTAAAGGACAACTTACTCTTGCAAAGTAGTAAACTGATATCTGAAGCTGTTGCTGGACCCCAAAGTCAAGGTGAAGGGTTGTTGCCCTTTGGATTATATCATATATTTAGAGGGGGACTCTGAGTCTGTGTTATGCTCCTGCTGAGGTTTTGGGGGTCTATTATTGTTTAAGGTTTTTCTTGTCTTTCCTTTGGTGAATCTTTGGTTACATGAGCTCATAACATCACAGGTTTTCAAATCTAAGCCTTCAAACATAAGGCCCTGGTTGGATTAATGAAGCGTCCTCATCAATAGATAATCAGTTCCTTATTCACCAGCCACTTTTATTCAAAGCGACTTGTAAGTAATGCGAAACATTATTCACTTGCAGATTAAGAATTAGATACTTATGTGCGGGAGCACCTTAGAAATCAGTGTTCTATGTGCCTTTACCTCAAACAATGAGGCAAAGCTTCCATTTAATGAACAGAACTCAACATACTATTTCCAAAAGACGAAAAAAAAATATCTGGCAATCCTTCAAAATACTTAATCCAATAACAATTACTTAAAGCCCTCCAGACTCTAGAAAAACTCTGCTAACCATCTGGATGAAACATTTTTGATCTCTTGCATGATAGTAAAAAGATTATTAACACCCCCACCCACCTCTTCACCCACATAATACTGCTGAATCCTTAGCCAAACATATGGCAGCTGGACGTTACAGCCTCTAACTCGATATACTCATCAGTATCCAAAATATTAAACTACACTGTAGTTTCCAATATTCTGGCCTTTCTCTTGAATATTTGAATAATTATCCATTTATTCCACTAAACTCCAAAATTACAGTGTCAACATTATATCTGTTTTCACTTAGATCAGGAAATGCAGACTCAGCTTCACTTAAATGTTTGCAAGACCTTTTTGGGAAGATATAGTCAAAACCACAGTTTGATCTTTTAGTCTCCGGGCTCAAATGTCAAAAATATTTCAAAGCTCTACTGTCATTTTATCAGTTACCAAGCAGCCATCTTTATCGTGATGAATCAAGATAACTTTCCTCCTCTTCTCATCTTAATCTCGGTGTCATACTCCCACTCCTCTGGTGAAGCTCAGCCTCTTCTGTCCCTCAACACCCCCACCCACATAAAGCCGACCCCTCTCTCTGTGTCCCTCTCCTCCCACCGCCCTTTTAAGTCAGTAAAGGGAAGTGGGGATATTGGAAAGTGAGATGGGAGAATGTTCAAACTGGAGCTTGTTTTCATTTCATGTTTAATTTCCTGACGCTTAAGCCCTCGGCTTTCCGCAGCTAACCCCTCTGACCTTTCGAAGGCGTGCAGACTGGAGTGGCGGACCAGACGTCCACGTACACACACAGAGTACGCACAGAAAACACATATTTACAATGTCATTCGCAGATTTTAAAGTCACTCTCGAACAAATGCAGTATTTTGAACCCTGGACCCTCAAAAACACTTAGTGGAGCCATTTTTATAAACAGACGCACCATGTCTGAGCACACATATTCCCCTGGTCTTGGTTTCAGAGTACACAGTGTGTAATGTTTCACTGCTCTTCATAGCTTATACTTTGAACAGCAGAGAAAATGAGACCCAAGCCAAATCCTTCGCCAGGGAGATAATTCGGGGAAACTTATGAAGTCAGACATGTCCTTTGCTGCCCTGAGCCTTTTATTCCCAAACTTGTGAAAGAACTTTGAGAAAGGAGGGACACTGATGTCTTTAAATAGGCAGAGCTCAAACTTATAAGAATTCTATATATCATATTGAACATGACAAATCACAATGGTCAAAACTCCAGAGGATTACATTTAGCAACTGTAAACACTTATAGCTCTTGTTTAATTTATTCAGCAGACATCTGCGAGGAAGGTGGCTCGTAGCTCAAAACATTTGGCGGCAATACAGTAATTGCTAAAGACGCTGACAGCAAAACGCAGCTTACAGAGCCATTATAGAGCTTTATTTATGCTCCAGAGCCAGCAGGCATGGAAGGAGGAAGAGGGAGAAAGGGAGGGCAGAGTCCATAGTTCCAGAAGCAGCTTTGAAGTCCAGCCGTCTCACCTCATCTCTGTCATCCAGGTTCACTGCGATTGATAGACAGCCTCACTCGCACACGGCCCCCTCTTCCATAAAAAGTAGGCAGCAGGGCGAAGTTCAAGTCTGAGGCTGGGAACTAATTGTGCTAAATAAACTAGCAGCTAGTCATTGATGTGATTTTGGACAGCTGCAGCCAGACTTTATGAAGACATTCATCATCAAACTGAAGATAAAACTGTGGGACCTTGACGTTGGCATTTTAGCTAAAAACATCTGTAGTCAGGATTTCAGTTGCTGTTGTTCTGGAGATGAAAAGGGTTCTTCAAGTGCCCCTCGGTATTCAACAATTGGATATTCCTGGACTTTGTCTCGATGGACCTTCAGATGAAGTTGTGGGCTTTAGTCTTGATTGCATGCATATTTGGGGTCCAAATTTTAGAAGTTTGGGTTAAACCTCACAATGATTTTGCAGCGAGCTTGTCAGTTGAAAAAAGTTAATTATATTCATGTGGGGAATAGATGGGTCTGTGTGAACACTAAATGAATGTACTTATTTTACTGTACCACCACAAGGACCAGGCCAGGTTCTCTGTCCCTGACTATGTCTCAGACTATGCATGGAAATTGAAAATGGCATCTCACAGTGTCTTTTATATCCTTGCCAAATAGCTTTGATGGCTTTCCATGTGTTTTCCTTCCGTGCCTCCAGAGTTGTGCGGTGAAGCAGTTTAAACATGGTAGTGCTGGGGAGAAACCCTTGGCCTCTGACCCTCTTGCAGAGTCTGCATCATGTAAGTGCTAAGAGCCGAGTATTCCCTTAGTCCCACCCATCCCACTCTGATCTAAAACTGGCAGGCAGAAAAAGACATTTTGAACAATAGGCCTTGCTGTCTTCTATTTGTAACAGTCTTTGTCAATATGCTAGTGTTATCTCTCCCAGCCTTTTTTGTTTGGTCCATAAATGATCATCAGCATGCAAACATGAACAATTGTTCTTATACAGCCGAGCGCAGAGACACTGTGTGCCCAGAAAAGAATGAAGGCACAATTTTATTCATCATAAATCATAAACTATACTTTCATACATTTATCTTAAAGCAAGTTAAAACCAAAATTCATAAATAGATTACAGTGATGTGACTATTTTAGTTAAACCCCAGTATTGGTAAAGCCCTGTGTGTGTTCTAAAGGATGGCTAGTGTCAAAAGGAGAGAAAAAAATTGACATAAAGAGACACGCTGTCTTTTTTCTTTTTCTTTAAATGTATGAAACTGTAATGTGTATTTGTGCAGGGGACTGTTTCAGCCCGTCGTAATCCGTTATTCTCACCTGAACACGAGCCTCTGTCAGATCCGTCCTCAGTGCCAGCTGCTCACGGGCATACACATCTGGGTAGTGTGTTTTCTGGAAAACCTTCTCCAGCTCCTCCAGCTGGTAGCTGGTGAATGTGGTACGATTGCGTCTCTTCTTGCCTTTGTTGCTCTCAGCCTCACTTTTTTCCAGGGGACTGGAAAGGTCTGACCCTGGACGCTCGCTTGGCCCTTTTACGCCAGGTTCCTTTAGGTTCAGGTAGCTGCCTTCCATCCCAGGAGCGTCCACACTTGAGGGCAACTCAGACTCAGCTAGGCTGTCTTTACCTGCAAGAAAGAGAGGTAGGTGTCTAATGTTTGGAGTAAAAGTCAAAGCTCTACCTAGTTATTGTTTGAAACTTTGTACATTCAACTGAGACTAATTTTTTGGAGGAACTGCAGCAAACTGATTATGCAAAGAAAATAACACATAAGTCAGGATATAGGCCAAAAAGGCATAAAATGGGATTGGTTTTCAAATGCATGATCAGTTTGGGTTTTTAGATCTTTGCAGTGAAAGTGTAGCGTCTGAATTCCTCTTTAAATCATGCTGCATGCATAAAACCTGCAGTAACATTCTTAAGTCTTTATAGAGCAGATGTAACCGAGTGGTCATGATAAAATGAATGGGAGAAATTCAGTTTTAGTGGAATCTTGAAGTTTGGCTTTACTTATAAAGTAATATTATTACTGTGGTAGCATCATTTACACAAGCAGAAATCACAACTAGCATCATTCCTACATCACAGTCGAACAAAAAGCATGTTAACATTGCTCATGTAATTATATTTCATATTCTCAGCGGGCAATGTGCTGAACTAAAGCTGTGGTGTTTCACTTTTAAGGCAGGAAGTGCATCAGCTCATCATCACATTTCAACATCTCCAGGAAATGGCATTGACTCCTAGTTTACATCATGCTCTGTCATGTTTTCATTTTAAGGCTCATAGGTCTTGTGTGTAAGGAACCAATCAAAAAGTCACAGGGAAGATAAATCGTTTTGTATTTGAAAGGTATGTCACAGTACATTGGAATGACCTGTGACAAAACCTGTGAAACCCTCCTCCTAAAGTCTCTCAATCACGCCACCCGAAACCTGAGCCACCTGAAATCTGTTCCATCTCGAGCCGTGTATGGCGGGTCTTGTGCACAGGACGGGCCTACCGCTCTCATCCCACAGCTTTGCCCCTCAGACGTAAACAACATTGTGTTTGTCACCTTGAATTTTGCGAGGGCCGGTTTTGTGACAGAGCTCGCTCTGTTCCTGCGTGCACACGCTGGCTATTTTGTTTCTACTGTGGAGATGAAGAAAGCTGTTCCTTTTTTCCTTCAATAAACAAACAGCCGTGTGAATAAATAATCTGAAGGGGCTCTGGTCGTGGGCCAGTGAGAACAGTGAGCTCGGTCAGCCTCTGTTTGCCTTTCCTGCAAATGAGCCCAGAGAGCACCCTCCTCTAAATGCATTGGCTTAAAACTAGCGTATTGTGGTCTCCTCCATATAAACAGATTTGTTAGTCTTATGCAACACTGGCATTACATTACTTGCACTAAAAATGACTTGTAAGAAGTTTAGAGACTGTTAATCTAATAGCACTGCACTAATGTGGGCGCATTTAATTTTGTCCACTTTCTGTTTTAATTTAGATGAATGTTGAAATCCCCTCTTGTCTCTCCTTAAGAGGGGCTCTTCTCTGAAGATACCAAAAACAAAAAAAAACAATTTAAAACTTTTGTAAGTTTTTTGGCCAGGGGTTTGATAGCTGAATAGTTTGAGAGTGATGAAGTTAGGCGGAGGCTGTCTGAAACATGCATGTTTGTTTTCATAGATTAGGGCGCCTTTGGCTAGAGAGTCCCTCAATGAAATGTCAATAGTCATCCCCTTAAAGCTGTAGCGGCACTCCTCTGCTCTCTGGCTCACACTTGCTCTGACTGAGACACTAATGGAACAAAACAGCCTGCCCAGCTGGAGTTCATGACCTCATTTTGCCACGACCTACCTGTCAGACTCTTTTTTTTCTTTCTTTTATTGTCTCAATGCAGGCAGATGTTCTTACATCACCAGCCCCTCAGCTGGCCTCTCATCCGCATGTACTGTGCAATAATTCCAGTCTACCCCTGGGCAGAAGCGTGGATGCAATGTTATGAAAGTAAGAAAGATAAGGTTTGGAGTCGTGCCTTGCATTTGCATCTGTGAAAATGCAGTTATGCCCCTGGGCAAGGCACATATCCTGTGGGTCTGAGGTTACAGATGTGGGCACAAGTGAGCGGCTGTGGAGAGGGAAGGATGGTGCGCTATAAACTGTTTACCATTCTGGGGGATGCATATTTCTTATCAGAACTTAGAGAAAGAGCCTGTGTCAGTACGCTCCCAATTGACAGCATCTCAGTCTATTGAAACAGTGGAAAAGTGTCTCACTTTGACAGTTGCTTTGCAGTTTTGCTCCGGACCAATGGTTTATCGGGTAGTGATGAGTGCTACTAGTTTGGATATCTAAGCACGTTCCTTATTCTTATGTTTAAAGATAAGTCACTTCTTATTATCAATATTAAAGAACAATGGTTTTATACATTGTTCAGTTTTTGTTATTGAACTTTAACTCACCGCTAAATCAACTGAAGACTTTTTCATTGTTATTTAATATTATCATATTGTGAATTCATTCTTAATTAGATGGGGGGGGGAAAATGTTATTTCCTGTACATTCTATAATATCTTGTTGTTAATGTAATAATTATTAAGTGACTTGCCTATTGATATTATTTGAACTTTAGCTGACAGAGTTAAAGGTAGTTGTAGCTTTGTTAACTGTATATGTTTAGACTTGAGAAAAAAGATTGAATTCATTATGCTGCTCGGAGACGACCATTTTTTCACAGTAAATTTAAGTCTGATCTTTTGATCAGTAAGTTTTTGCTTTCTTGGAAGATTTTAATTTTGTCATCTAAATATGAAAACAGAGTTAATTCAAAATTTTTGCAAACTGTCCATGTTGTCCTTTCAAACAAAGTAAAAAGTGGTGAATCGCTGTTCTAGGATGATTTGCCAGAATGACATACACAGACTAAAATTAGGGGTCTATCTCTACTCTTTATGACATGAAGTGTTACTTTTATGAAATCTAATTTAAGTTTGTAAGTAAAGAACAACCCTTTTTTTATTTTGCATTGGTTTGCATTGGTGTCATCTCACTAAAGGTGTCTCCCTCACCCACATTGTAAGGTCACACATTTTTAACAATCAGGCCACAGATGCTGCAGTTCAACTATAACTTAGCTTTACAAACTCAAGTCAGTTTCAAATAGTCTATTTGAAACTGACTCTTCCTCCTGTAGATTTTCAGTTATTTTTATTTTTATTTTTGTTAGTGGAACCCTAACCCCAACCCAATACTTAACCCTAACCGTTTCATGCAATGCTACAAATCCATAAACGCAAACACATAAACATATCAGCAATTGGTTGGTGGGCATTGCATTTGTTTTTACACATCAGCTGACACACTCTTTCAATGACACGTAAACTATTTTCATCCAGTCAACAGCAGGCTTTTTTTAAAATGTTGCTTTCATGTTATTTTACAGTGCGGCAACTTAGAGCATATATACAAAAACCATCAAAAAATTTTGAAGAGAAGAAAAAAAAGAAAAAAAGGTTTGACTTCCTTGAATTAAAAAACAGGATGTGTATTGTTATTGTCTAAGCTTTTAACCCTGTTCCATGTTTTCATATTGAGGTGAACTGTTTGCACATTCTTCCTAAAGGTAGTCACTATTATGTTGGTTTTGTCTCCACATTCGAAACTGGAATCATCAACATATCAACATTCTTTTGTGTTTACAAAACTCATCTTTCTCCTCTCTGTCACTCTAACCGCACACATTCGTTTGCCACAAACATCTTAAAATTTCCCCGCATGCTGAGCTGTCTCTTGTGCACGCTGCTCTGGAAAACACAGCCTTCACACACTGCTTTCTTTTAGGAGCCAAGATTCCACTGCGTTGGCCCAGATTTTTTTTGGCATTCACAGGAATGTGTTTTTGACAGTTGTTCTTGTTTCAGTATCCATCATCGTACCAAATATGACTGACTTATTTTGTAATCTGCCAGCTTCTCAGTGACAAGCTGCAGACCACTTCAGTTAGCCGAGGGTCAGATCTTTACTAGGGTCAGCAATTTAATCACTGCTGAAAACAGAGAGAAAACATCAAAGTGTAATTTAACTGGTTGTAAAGCAACAGGGCACCCTCTTAGTTTTTATGGAATAGGACGGGGAGGGTCAAGTGAAGCCAAATAAAAGAAACACTATAAATTAGTAACCTGGGGAAGGGTTAATGACCAAACACTAAATAGGGAAGGGAATGCTTTTAAACAGAGTGCTCCAAAAGTTTCTCTTGAGACAGTCTGGGCTGACGGCTGAATGCCACAATTTCCCTCCATGTATCACGACTTGTACGGATTAAATCACACCAAATATTCCACTAGATCCAGGTGTCAGCGGGTGATTATCATTGTACCTTCACTTCTGGTACACTGACGTGTGTTGCGCTGTATTTTTTTTTCCACAGCTCGGTCTAAGACCCGATGTTGACTGTTGTTTCCTCAGTGAAGGGAGGCTCCCAGATGTTCCTGAGGTGAGATCAATGCCAGCAGCTCATGCAAGAATGCAGATTTCCTGGGAAACAGAAAAATCTTTCTGCTCTGTCTCAGCTCCTGAGAAATTGACACGCTCATGACCTCACTACTGTCGTAATACCTTGGGCTGCGGCTGTCTCATATCAAAGTGCACAAAAATAGTTCTTTAGGGGGGAAGGGATAGCTTATTGTGGAGGAAGCTCCTTTTCTTGAGGGGGAAAATGTAGAACATCTTGATAAAATGGTACTCATGTCATGTGTCGATACAGAGAGACGGTCCATGTTTAACACATTAGTGTCACAATTCCAAGATGGAGAGAGTCTGTATGGCAAATGGTTTTGATTCAGTGGCTGTATTTCATATGTCAGTACTGTACATTGTTTCCCCTTTATTTTAAGATGAAATTCTACGAGGAGTTTTGATTTACAATGATTAGTGTAAAACAAAATAAAGTGTTGGTTTAGAAAGTAGACATATGATATAATTCAACACAAATTTCCGCTCCCTTTATCTCAAATAAATGTATTCAGCCATCCCATTTGTAGTCACCGACAGACTCAAAGAAACTATGAGAGTGCAGTGTAACCAGGTGTTTACTACTGACTTTTATTTGACATATGATATGCTTAAAGTAAAATGAGTTATCTTCCCATGCTGAAAACAAACTGAAAAGAGAAAAGGAACGGTTGTTAATCATTGTACTGAAAGTGATCACTGTATCTGTGTCATGTCGAGTAGTTTTGAAGTTTTCGCCCTCTTTCGATCAAATTGTACTAGGAGGCCACGTTTTTGTTGCACATTTGAAAAAACTCCTACGGTCATATTTAGCCGATGTAGACAGTATAAAGGCCACAACCCTAAGGGCACCAGTCCAAATGTGGGCCAGTTGGTCAACATTTCCAGGTTTAAATCAACATTCTGCTCCATTTTTGTCAGGTAATCCCCTTCAACTCTAAAAGTCATTCACTGAAAAACAAGTCATAAGAGCACAGCAGCGACCAGAAAAATGGATTTCTGTCAGAGTCATAAGAGCAATAGCTTAGGTTTAAACTACATTGAGAAAAGCAAATAGACTTCCTGGCAAAGTTTCTGCGCATCTCTTTTTTTTATTTTCAGCTGGACAGCTGACTGCAGCTTGAGTCACATGTTTACAGAAACCTATCCATTCTAACCAGTGTGGACATCACCCGTTCAAACGCTCACTCATTACATATTCTAATTTATTCCTGTTTGGAGACACACGCTTATACGATCGCAGGTGTCACCGCATTGATTTTGTTAACATCCACACAATGTGTTAGTCATCAGCACATGCATATCCCCTGACATCACCTCCCCAAGCATTTTAACGTGTACTTAGAGCACTGTATTTTGACAGGAGACTTTTTAAAGCACTGCCAGGACTTTTTGAGGTCGTGTTTTGGTTTTCATATGCTGAGAAAATGGTTTACATATCACAGGATGCGTCACATCCCACTAAGGGAGGAGGGCTTGTTTGAAAGCTCAAAGATTGACATTTGAATGTTGTATTTTCTGAATGTAAAATATGTTGTGGCTATTCTGTGAGATGAGAAAAGGGGTACATTGCAGCCAACTTTTATGCTAAACCCATCAACAGTGTTGAGCTTCGGGCGACTTTTGCAGATGGTTTTTGCAGTCATTTACGCTGATGTTCTCTTGTATTTATAGTGTGAGGATGTTCTCCTCATAGGTTCACGTTGACAAAACAAACTAGATCAATTAGTCAGGATTAAACTACAAAACAGAAAGCGAACTAGGATCCAGCTCAGTGCAGAGCTTGTACATAAACAGTCATAGTCGCACATGTGAGGCTTTCCCAGAAACCATCTCATTTCTCCAGAGTCTCTCAAATCATTTCCCAATCTAAATGTCCATTCCTGACTCCTTGCTTATTTGTACAAGGTATTGTCGAGACAGGGTTATGTAAACCAGTCCCACTTTGTCATCTCGGGGACTCTGTAGCTTTGGAGATCTGCTGTTTGGGGAGTATGAATAATAACCATAGGAGCCAGTAATGCACATCTGCCTTACATTAATCTAGACCTCTCCTGCAGTGCTGACCTGCATTCCTCAGCTCTCGATCAGCTCCAGAGGCATTTATTTCATTCAATGCTGCGCGTGCAGGTAGACAGCCCTGTGCTTGTCTTTTTGAAAGACAGTCAGATAGTAAAATTTAACTAAATGCACTAAATCATCACTCTGAACCACAACTGAGCAGACATAAGTTGTTTAAACTTTTTCACACAAGTTTTTGATGAACATGATAAAATAATCTGAAACTAAATTATATCAGTTCAAAGCAGCAAATGTAGCAAAACCCTGCCATGGACACTAAACTTCAGGTGTCAAACAATGGAACTGTGCAAAGTGACATACACTGAACTACACGAGAAAAGAAGTTGGATTATTTTCCAGAAGTGTTCAATTAAGTTTAGCCGTGTAATTACCCTTTTTTTCAGATATATTTATTGACATTATAATATGAATAGAATTGTAGATCCACATCTTCATCTTTTCGTGCTGTGACAGCTTTTTAACATGAATGCTCACGTTTCTTTTTTTCTATCAAAACAGTTATTTTTGTAGAACACTTGGAGGGAAATGCAGAGACAGCACGATGGGTTGTTATGTGAATACCATTGCAGTTGTAACTTAAGTTGCCACAGGAAAATTCCCTTTGGGCATGAAATGACTTTTGTCATCATGATGGAGATAAAGTATCAGCATTAAGCAATATATCTCCCAGTAAGGACCACACATAACAGCGTAACCCTGTTGACGCCTGAGGCTTTGGCAGGACCCCAAAGCATCCTCCCTAGAGCCACGATGCCTTCATCTGGCTGCAACATTTTCAATAATAACACTGCACAGCTCTTCCTCGAGGGAGGCATGTTGCATTTAATGATGGTGTTTAAACGGTTCTGTCAATGCACTTGCCAAATCGACCCAAATGAACGAAGGGGTGCTGGATTGTTGGAGGCACAAAAAGTGGCACCCCAGAGAGAAAAGAAGAGTGCCTCCAGTTGTTTCTCAGAAAAGAAAGTACTTAGCACTTCATGTATTTTGGCTGACTTTGGTGCTGGCTACTGCACAAAAATCAGTCACACTGCAGGCCTTTTGCTGGAGCCTGCTATGCTGAATTCTGGCAGGTTTTTATATCGTAATTTCTTAGATTAGTGACATGATAAATGTATTTCCTAGTGTATTTCCGTTTGTCCATGGACATTATAAACGTTTTTTTTAAGTATCCATACAAATCGCCCAAAAATACATGTCAAATGGTGAATTCAAATTATCAGCACGTGGTTTTCTCCATAACATCAGGATTAACGTGTAGAATCGAATCAAGGCGCCCAAGTGCCTAACGGTTTCCAAATAACTGCAGTGAATTATCTGCAATAGTACAGTCATGCATTTTGAGTCCCACTTTGCCTCTCTAGCCTTTCCCACAATAAAAGCAACGAAAAAGTAACTTAAATCCTTTTCGGCCATTTTAATAGACTTTTTTATAACGCCCCGCTGCAAAGGAGACAACTAAATACATTACTTTCTTTAAACGGCCCCGTTCACTCCAACTCTTTGTCAAGGGTTTGCGAATCTCCAAAGCTTTCGTCTTAAATGTGTAACTGTCAAGATTTCCAGACAGTCCCTGAAATTGTATATTTGGCGTATTTAATTGACCATCGTAGACTTTTACGGCCCATAAATTGTCATTTGGTTTGGCCTGTGAAGCTCTGCGCAATAAATTCGTGAAGAGTCTCATATGCGCGTAATTGATGGATCAGTCCCGCTTTTTCTAACTTAGCTCAAAGAGAATTTGTAACACAGTAGCAATAGTAATGATAAAGTAATAATTAGCTAAGGCCTTGAACATTAACTTGTTACGTTTTTCTCTTTTTTCTAGGCCTGGTCTTATCTTTTACTCCGAATGGCGAGGTGACATTTCTCCTCATTACTCCATTTGTCAGTGATGAAGAGTGAGGCGGTGTAAAACAGCTACAGCCTTTTGAGTTTTATGTTGCAGTTAATTAGTAAAAGAAAGTTCAAATCAAATATGTAACGCAACAGGAACTGAAAAGGTGAAAGCCTCCATTTAACACGATGGAGTTTGATAAAAGTGGCATGGCATCCCTAATAGAAAGCTCAAAGATACTCTTTCCGCGTCCCTTTCGGCCACAGCGCGCAGAATTGACTTTACTTTTTATTTATACTGAGTTAAATTGTTGTCCACTTATTGTTAAACTAAACTTCGGACAGTTTTTTTATTTCTATTTTTTAATAGAGGCCTATGGTCTATTCGAAACGTGTTTTTGGTGTAAGAAAAGACTAAACAAATCTTGCTATAAACATTTTACCCCGTCCCACTTTGTGCTGAGCCCTGTTACATCACAAACACATTTAAGTTCAAATCTGCTGCTCAGCTGCACCGGTCCCGATGGCTTCTCCTCTCATCTCTGACAGATCACTATCTCTCACATAGTAAATTACTAGAATCTGCATCAGTGCTTACAAATGTCTCGTTTATCTTTGCCTTAAACAGGGCCTGTGTGCGTCGTATTTGTGCGCACTCACCATAGCAGGGAATGAGGGTCCCGTTGTGTCCGCTGTCCGGGTGCAGCTTGCTGCCTTCGGGTGGAGTTTTGCAGGTCGGTCTCTGCATGAAGAGCTGGTATTTGTTAAACGTGCTCTCCTCGGCGCCGTCCAGCGACTGGCACTCGGACTGGAAAGGACTACGGCACTTCTCTCCGTACGCCTGCCCTTTTCCCGGGATGAAAGTGGGGCTGTATTTGGTTTCAGTGCTCGGGAAAGTCCTGAAAGGGCTCGCCTGGTGATCCCTACCCGGCGCAGCAGATGCACTATAATACGAATCCATCGATGTCATATCGCAGTATGAGACGCACGTATCTGCGTTCATACCTAAAAATTTATGATCGAAAAATCCACACGCTTTTTCTTTCCCTCCCTTAGTCGAGACAGCAGATATTCTCCCCTAATTCTCATGCACTGACAGACTCACGGCGCTGCGCTCAGGCGCACACACGCTCACAATGACGCATCTGGGACTGGTTACAAAAAATGAATCAGATGAATCAGATGTTTTCCAGAGACCTCAGACCGAACAAATGCTAAAAGCCCCCTGAAGGTTTGTCGGGGTAAAGAGAAATGCCTTGCTGAGTCTGATGCCGCCTCAGTAGCCTGCAGTGTATCTGACACACGCACACGCAGCACTCCGACCTTCAGGCTCTGCGCGCGTCTGAAGTAGGCCTACACCGAGGCGCAGCCGGAGCTATTATGCAGCCAGTAGAAATGGGAGGTCAAGCTCAGAAGGGGAAAGCTTTTTTGGTAAACACGAGGGAGACACAACACATGACATTAATGTGATTAGAGGATGAATATCACGGCTTTGATACCTGCTGTTCCATGGCTTAAGACCCTAACCTCTAACTTTTGGATAAAAGGTTGTTCATCATCTCAAGCTTTAAAGCATTCTCTCTATCTGCTAAGGGGGGCGCGTTTGGTCATTTAACGGGATTTTTGAAAAATTAAATGTATGCATTGATCCCTGCATTTAGACAAAGATAAATGTTACGTAAATAAGCACCAATCAAGAAATGCAGTCGGCGGATATTGAGCTTGAGTAGTCTGCTGATATTTCGGTTGTGTACTTGTTTTAAAGACCTGCATTAAACCAAACAACACTAACAGCCAGATCAGATCCTGATGTGAGGAGTCTGCCGGAGTGGAAACTGGATCCTCTTACAATGGCAACGAATCCGAGTCGCTTAATTTCAAGCAACTCTCACTTCAAAATATTGAATCACTAATGGGTCATTAAGCCCCATAACGCTCACCAAAAGCTGGTAGGCGACAACAAATCGATCAGCAATGCGCGCCTCTCTTGACATGAATGCCACGGATTTAAGTTGTGAAAGGAAACAAGATAGGCCTTTATGTTGGTCGGGGGTCAAATTGGATAAATTGCATCAAATTACGACCGTGAATGAATTCATTTTCAGGGCATTACAAAGACGTGGAGATAATAGTTTCATGTCAATAAATTGCTTGAACTAGTAAATATAAAAAATCTATCTTGACTTCTCTTAAATGTTACACCTAAAAAGTGTTTAATTTGTAGACTTAGTTGCTTGTTTATCAAAGGGCCAAGGGGTTGGTGACAAAAACGATTCAAATCTCCATAAATCATAATAATCATAATTAGGATTATTGTCATGATTATTTGCATAGGCTACATTTTTGTTTTCAAATAACAGAAATTACCTCAGCAGGGTTTCGTTTTCTTTCTTTTTTAATAACTTTTTAAAATTAAAGATAGCTGGAGACATAGATATTTTTGCATGTGTCTGGAGGACAATATTTCGTGCCAGGTGCCATATAAAATGATACAGTCAAACGGTGAAAGATGAAGTTGAAAACGTCTGTTTTAAGGCGTTGGCTGTTGGGACCCGGTTAATCACAATAAAGACCTTCTTTTCTCACTATCATTCAGCGCTTATTAACCTTTTTCTCTCGGATTTGGAGTGAGTTCGCTGGTTGGAGTGGCCTCTTTTACCAGCGGCACCTCTCTGCTTGTGCAGGCATTCATTAACTACTCATTTATTAAATTCTTCTGTAACAAAAAAAGAAAAGAAAAAACAGAAGTTTTTTTATTTTAAAACGTGACCTTTTTTACTTTGGATTTCCTATTCTTCAGCCATGTCATTCTTTTAGATTTTGCTTTGGCTTTTAATTGGAGGTAAATAAAAACTATTTAAAGCAGTCACTTTTGTGCAGCAATTAGTTTAAAAGGATTTAACGCCGTTCTCTTATGTCCTGAAAATATATGATTATTCACAGCGTTTGAACTGATAAGTGCAATTTCCCGAATATTGGACTTTAATTTGCAGATGTTGATTTGATGGATTTATCTTTTTACCCATTTTGGTTCTTTTTTGTTTCTAAAACAGAAAATTATTGTTTTTCTGTGCAGTATCAGTTATTGTTTTTTTCATGCCAATTGTTATCTAGCAAATTTCAGCTTTTTAGAATCTGAAATGCAGAAAGTGTAAGGACTCCATGCAGAAGTACTAAAAATGAGACTCTGAGGTTGTGGGTGTTTGGTAACATTTTGTTCTAACCTTTAGGGTTTTTTTTAGAGTACACTCTCTTTCACATAAAATATTTAAGATGGTGGCTTCACAGTAAAACATCTTAAACTTGAGGGTTGTAAAACCAGCTAAAGGCAAACAATGAGTCCTCATTGAAATTGATATATATCCCAGCCTTCCTTAATGTAAACTACTCCACTGAAGAGGGCTGAAGTCTCGGCTGTCACAGATATTCATCGCCCAGTCCTGGCACACTCCTCCCAGTGAGCCGTCTGTTTCATTTCCAGCAAGGACCATGACCAGGTAGTATTCTCTCCTGAGATGCTGCAGCTCTGAGCCCTGAGGCTCATATTAGCACTGAGAGTTCCTGAAGCAGTCAGGCATGGCAGAGTGGTAAAAGTGTGCAGAAATTGCTTTAGATTAGCCTGCTGTGTCTAACTGGCATATTAGGTTTGGTGGTGGGAAAGCTGGATGGGAATAATGTAACCCACAAAAAGTGCTGTTCCACTCAATGGGATTTTTTTCTATGCTGTAATGTTTGTTTTCCGCTCTTCGTTGTGATAAGGTTTTGTCGGACACACTGCTGTTTGACAGGCACATGTGACAGCAGTAAGAACAAAAACTTTGATAACTGAATGTTTAGTTTGACTTTAATTTAGCTGCTGATATCTATTTTTTTTGGTTTGTTTGTTTTTTAATTTTTTTTGTTTTGTTTTTGCAGTAATTAGAGGAATTTTTGGACTCCAAAAACCAGCTGAGAAAACACAGTCAAGCTTTTCACATTACAGATGACAATTCTGCTTTCTTTTTCATAATTTCTACATATTGTATGGTATACAGTGACCACGTTAAACTTTTTCTTCACTTGTTAACTTTTAAAAACTGCATCCATTTTCATATAATTGTTTATCTCATAGATTTATCTACAGTTCTAATCAGCAGCTGCAGAACAAGCATCCTGTTAACAGATGTTTCAGTATTACTGATCTAGAAATGTTGTAGGCTACAATAACTTTAGGTCAGAAGAACTGACTTTTAGTGCATTTCATGCTGAACACACTGAATACTTCACCCATACTGACGTCAGCGTCAATTCCAATAAGCTTCCCAAAACGTGGTGATGTCAAGTTTCCAGACAGACTTAACTCTGGAGTATTTATCCCAAACCAACACATTTACATATGCAAGATCTTCACGAGCTCCAGAATTCATTCTAAAAAAAAGTCAGTTTTACAATTAGTGATGTAAAATGTCAATCCAAATTTTAGTGTGAAGAAATTATCACACAATAGCTGCTGGTGGATGAACTTATTTGAGTAAAATGACATTCTTGGTTGATGCGTTTCATGCGTTGATGCATTGAGTCGTTTTCCCACATGCATGAGATGCACGGTGCCACATCTGTCACATCTGTGGTTGTCATGTTTGAGGCAATTGTTGAATCCACAAAACTGTTGATGGGTTGCCGCGGCAACAAGATGATGAGACTGGGAGATGTTACCTCAATATTTACTTGCAAGTATATATATGTGTGTTTACGTGTGTGTGTGGGTGGGTGTGGGTGTGTGTTAATGCTCTTTCAAACCGCACACGTTTTAGGAAAGTGACTCACAATCGGTGTCACATCGTCGTGTGTGCAGCTCGACAGAATCTGAGAGACCTCTCACACTCGTACCAGGGGTTGTTCCCTGCCTCGATTTGTACAAGACAGGGGTCTCTGATATCTTACGGATGGCACATCATGCCCCTTTGAGGGTATGTTTGAGAGCAAAAAGGACAACGGATTTTTATGTGTAGTTTTAAATTGGTTTCACATGAGCTTGGGCACACACTGCATCAGCAGATTCTCTGATCAAATTAAGCAGAAATGAGGAGAGAGGAAAAAAGAGGCAGCGGTTGTACTGATGTATAATTCAATAAACAAGACCATCCAGGAGCAGACAGAGGAGATGCTGTGCTGCCTTCATCTCTCAGCTCTATATCTGGACAGTTAACCCATGAGTGGAGACACGCAGTGAAGCCCATTGAGCAAAGCTCCATCCATCATCGGTGTAGCCGTCAACACATAACATAGCACGTAACACGTACAGCTGATGTTCACAACCAGCATAAAGAAACAATTTTTATCTGTTTTAGAGTCTATTTTTAAAGCAAACTGTTCATCATTTAGATAAGCTGAGATGTAAAAACCAAAAAAGTCTTTTTTTTTCTCACTCAAAAATTCTGAACTTTCTGTCACATAATCAACATTTTTGCCGCTTTGTCCCTCAACTGTCGATTGGAGTACGTTGTAGTTCAGGATTCTGTTAATTAAAACACTGAGGTAATTAGAAACGGCTTTGAGAATGTGGCTGGCTGTGTAACGCGTGTGATGATGCAGCACAGCTGAAGATAAAAGGTTCCTGGTATACATCACCAATTCATCATTTCGAACACAAATGACAAGCTCATCACTTGAATACTCATCTGTCACCGGCTCTAGGCTAATAATTAGCTCTATTTTCGTCAAATTGGGCAGCTAACAAGCCACTTGAAGACCTATTAGTTGTCTTTTGGGGATTCTTAATGTTTTGTAAAAATTGTTGCATAAAATTTTCAAATTGTTTAAATGAATTAATGAATCATTTGACTTTCCATAAGAGGAAAGGTCCAGTTTCAAAAGACCTGTTATGAGTGTTTTTTTGTTTGTTTTCTTTCATTTACAGACATACAAATTAAGAGATTATTTACAAACTGTTCATTTTACCAAATATCAATTGCTTTCCGTCCACCAATTGTGGCATTTTCCCGTGAGTAATTGCCTAGAGCATTTGCGGGTTTAACTAAAAATCTAAATTTAGTGAGATAGCAGAAGACTGTGAATATCTGTTTTCAGTGTGATACTGCAATGACCTATATCAGTTAAACTTGAAAAGAAAAATGTTTAATTCAATAACCCAGAGAAACTCTGTAGTGCTGTATGTGTGGAAGGTAAAAACCTTTTCCACACATATCACCCCTCCTTTTTTGTGGCTTCCCAGTGCACTAAGCACTTAATAAATCCACCCAGGTTTCTTTTATAAAGTCCTCTTTGATCACTGAGAAAGAGACTACATTTTTGCATCAAACTGAGCATTCTTGACTTGTTGTGAACTACAAATATATTTTTAGAATCATGGAAATCAATTCTTTAACTGATTGTACTCCA